ATGCCAAAAAAAAAATTAAAGACATGAAAATTAAAACCCTAAATTGCCCTTAGATAAAAGCCTCGTATATCCCAAATTTATAACCCTTTCCTTAACCTAATCCTAAATTTCTTTTTCCTTCTCCCTTCAATTATCAAACAAAAATCAAAACACAATCATCGGTTCTTCTTCTTCGTTTATTTATTAAGAAACCTCTACTATAACCCATATTATCTTCTCTCTAGTTCTTCATCCTATCTTCTCCTTATTCATCATTTCTCCATCGAGTCCTTTTATCTTTCAGTTGCTTTATGAAATTAAAGGAAATCCAACAACCCTAAGTTATAGACCTTGAGTGGAGTTAAGGTATGTCAATTTTTGAATGAGTTAATTCTTAATTTTTTTTTTTAAATTGTTAGATGGTAGTAGTCCATCCATATTGTGAATTTTATGCAATTAATAAAATTTGTTAATGTTTTTTATCTGTCATTATTACTCCACGGTCGTCCCTCCATATGGGTAAGCTAAGGATTCATATTGGAAAAAAAAATTACATAAAACGTTTAGAGGTCTTGGTTTATCGATGACGTGTGAAGGGAATATTGTGATTGATGTTAATGTTGACAAGGATCTTTTTTTTTTTTTTTTGGGTTTATTGGAGCTTACCAAGAAACATGGTTATATGAATATAATATATGTGTATTATAAAGATTCAAAACTAGGTAATAATTTAACAAAATGCCTTAGTTTGATATATGATGACATAAATTTATGTCGTTTGATTGACCTTCTAATGAAAACTCAATGTGCTGATTTGTGTTATAAACATGGTGACAAAAAACATTCTTGTTTTAATGTGAATAATCCGAAGGCTGTATATGATAGGCCTAGTCTTGATGTGAATCATAGATTTGATTATGGTGCAATTTATACATGTGAAAGCTCATGTCATTTTGGGATTGAAAATGATGGTGCTAGAGAAAATGAAGCTAAAATTATTGAGAGAGTATTCGAGAGGAATAATGAGTCGATAGAGGAAAGGACGAGTAGAGAAGCATAATATAACAAGGATGAACATGACCAAATAGAAAGAGGGTTAGTAGATAAGCATAATTATGATGATGAGGAACATAAGCAAACGAGAGAAAGGGACAATAGAGAGGTAAAAATTTATCGATGAATATAAAGATGATGCTTGAAAAGGATTGATTAAGAGGTGAAGAAGATATTACTTTTAAATGTGTTTGGTTGAGTGAAAACAATGATGAAGAGGTGCGACTTGCAAGGAGTTGTGTTAAAAGTGCAAAACATAATAAGGGAAAAGATGGGAATACAAGTGAGAATGAAGATATGAATGTAGATGAAAATGCACGTATGAATGTAAATGGGAATGCGAGATGGAAATACGGATGGGAATGAAGACAAGAATGAAGATGCTAATGTAGATGAGGTTGGTGAGGAAAATATGAAGAGGAATGATGATGAAAATATTATAGGGGTTGGTGAGGATAATTATGTTCAGAAGATGTTGAATTGGAGAGGGAAAGAGAGTATGATTTTAATGAACGAGTGACGTATTTATCAACCACTAATGATGATTCAAACGCAGAACATGGTAAAAGGATGAAAACAAAGATTGGTTTGTATGATGATAAGAATAAAGTCCCACACTTCCGGATTGATATGGTGTTTTAAATAAAAAAAAATATTTAGAGAAGATGTTATAAAACATTCAATGAAGTATAGAAGAGTTGTGAAGTTGATAAAGGATTATCATGTTAGGATTAAGGCTAAATACAAGGATGAGGATTGCAAGTGGACCATCCTATGTTCTCTACACAATGGTACATCAAGTTAGGTTATGAAGACTTATGAGTCGAACACACATACGATGTCAACTTTATAAGAAAATATGTTAATTACAAGATTTTGGTTGATGAGTTAATCAAAAGGCATGAAAGATTGTGTTTAAAGATTACTTTAAGAGAAATTATTGCTCAATACAGATTTGGGACTAAAGATCTCACTAACTCAAGCAAGTTCTACAAGGAATAGAGTTATAAAGTTATTGTATGGAGACATAGAGGTACAATTTGCACAACTTGAAGATTATGCTAAAGAAATCAAAAAACTAATAAAGACAACACCGTTATTGTAGAATTTGAGCCAAATACTAACGAGTTCATAAGGATGCGAGTTTGTTTCGAGTAATTGAGAAAAGGATTTTTTAAAAGGATGCAAAAAGGTTATTGGTGTTGATGGATACTTTATAAAACGCCAATTGAAAGGGGAGTTGCTAGTTGCAATGGAGAGAGATGCCAACAATTAAATGTATCATATATGTTAGGCGGTAGTGAGATGGGAGAATTTGTGAAAAATAAAAATGGTTCTTGTGATTTTTAATAAATGATATGTATATGTATCTTTACAATGGTGATAGTTAGACAATCATTTTAGACCAACAAAAATTAATATTCAAACTTGTTATATTTTCTAATTATTTGATTTTCAAATTGTTCTTATCTTATAGTACATTACATTTATCGATAATTTGTTATTTATTAAGGCACTTTCAAAAGAAATTACCGAGTTGATGTTCTATATTGAACATATATGACGTGCTAGGCATATTTTTGCTAATTAGAGTAAGACATATAAAGGAGAAAAACTATATGCTCGATCCTAGAAATGTTGCAAGTCAACAACCAAAGAAGTGTTTATGTTGATTTTATCTACAAGTATGGTTTATTGGATGATTACCCCGTTTGTATTAGATAAGAGGTTTGGGATGTATGGCGAAGAGATTTTATGAGACCTAATCATGTGGCTCATTCCGAGCAAGTATTGCTCGAACCGAAGATCGTTGATCCTAGTGTGAGTCCTTCCGGGCATACGAGAGGACCCCATATCCGCAAAAGAGCATGAGCGTCACTTGATAAATTGCACACTTTTATTATTAATTAAAAGTTTCAAAAAATTTCAATTTTTTTCTCATATTTTTTGTAATGTATTTTTTTCAAGAGGCAAGATTGGTCCATGAGCGAACGAGGTTTGAGTTATTTCGGACGACTCATAACTATTGAGATGGTTCTTTCATTGATCTACTCTCCTAGTAAATAATGGTAAGTGTTTTTCAATTTTAGAAAGATAATGGGTTGGCTCTATTCGAGTATCGATAATTCATATATGCTCAAATCTTATCATCTTTCTTACCCACTACGACTATGTTTGACACCTACCGAGGGTATTCGACCACTTCTAGGAATCCTATGTCCTATTGCTTCTTAATCTCTTCTATCACCTTTAGCAATATGTCTAAACTTGTCCTTCTTAACTTCTATTTTATCAGCTTACACTTTGGGTTCAAAGGCAATCTATACTCTATTATCTTATCTAGCCCTAGAGTTTCGACATATGACTAAGCAAATATATCGAGCATTCTCTCAAGAGTGAAATCATTTTCTTTTTCAGCAACCTTCATTAAGGTCCCAACCTTTAACTCTTATCTCGTTCTCATTAGCCTTCACATTTATCACTTCTAATTCTTCTTGATGTGGTTTGATAGATCGTTCGACAAGTTCACTAATTTTGTGAATTCTTTAATATCATTCTCTCATCACTCTTTTTCGTCCATTGTAATTAAAGTTTTATCAAATTTTGGCCAATCATTTTTATTTTTAAAGAGGTGATCATAATGTATGTCCTTGAAATAAAATAAAAATACAAATAAAATGAGAAGAAACAAAATACAAACAAGAGATTGCAAAAAGGAATTTTATATAATTTGGTGTATTAGTATTATTTATAAACAAGATAAGGCTCCACATTAAAAGTTTATTTTCACGATTCGAGTCGAGTCGAATTCAATTAAAGGTAAAGTTTTTTTTTTTATCAATCCATTCACAAGCCCTACCTGCTCTTAGATTGTAACGCATTCAAAAAGCTGTTTTTCCAAGTGAAATAATTATCTATAGTTTTGCTTAGTCGTTCATAATAAATAAAAAAATAATAATAAATCAAACTTAAATGATACAATAGGTGCAAATAGAATGGGGATTTGATATCTATTGTGATGTTTTGCGCATTTGAAATGGACACTAAATCCTTTTGATCATGAGTTGTAGAGTTGTGGGCCATGGTTAAAAGAACAAAAAATTAATAAAGATTAAAGACAAAAAAGCATTGTAGAAACCATGCTATACCATGAAAATCATGAATTTTTTTGTTCTATATTGTATTGCTAAATAACAAAGTCACAAGTATCTTTATATACTAATTATAAGTAATTAGGATCCCTACAATTAAGCTAATCGGAATGAATCCTTCGAATTAACCTAATTATAATCTCTCCAATTAAGCTAATTAAGATTCTTTACTGTACATAACCAATGCAGTCTTTGCCCGTACCAAGTGAGAAAGGAGTATGTTTGTCTACTCATTTTCAATTTTTCAAGTCATTCTTTTTCCCCTTTTTTCTCCCAACTTCTTCTTCCACAAGTTAAGTCTACTTTTTATGTGGTTAAAATTAATGGAAAATCTAATTTTCATAGTGAAAAAACTAGTTTATAATATTCGAATTAAAATCTCAATTTAATGGAAAGTTCAAGCTATTTTTAAATCATTTTGTCCAACATTCTACTTCCACTTTAATTTCTCAAACAAAAACAAGAAAGGAGTCTGCCTGTCTATTCGTATTCCTTTATCCTCGTTTTTTTTTTTTTTTTTTTAAGTCAATGTCTTCTAGTTTTTCTCCCTAGTACTTCCCCTGCAAGTTTCCTTCCTCATGAAGAAGTCTTTTTAGTTTCCCCATTTCCCTTCACTTCACTACTAGTCACTACTCCTGCTACTACCAGCTACCCCTCTGTTTCCTTGTTTCCTTCAAAACCTGATCTGCTTTCTTCTGTTTCCTTCAAAACCTCTGCATTCTTCTCTCTGTAACTACTCAACTTCTCGTTCTTCTGTCTTTTTTCCTTTTCGTTTCTGGGTATTTTTTATCTTCTTTTCTGTTTGCAAGAGCAAGAATGGGGACTCCAAAAGAACACATAGAGCAGATAAGAAAAACGACATTCTCGATAGGAGGAGAAAAGAACCCTTTGGCTCCAATGCTTGATCAGGCTGTCAAGTTTCTCTCTGCTGAACTCTACGCTAAAGATGTCCACTTTCTAATGGAACTCATTCAGGTTTTCTTTCTTTTTCACGTTTTCCCAAATGTCTATGTTTTTCTTTATATCAGAGAATGTTGTTGTTTAGTATGCTTTATGTTTTATGTTTTTTACTTTATATATTTTGTTTGCCATTGATCTTTTTTTTTTTTTCTCTTTGAATTTTGTATTGGCTGATTTTTTTCCTCTCTGAATTTTCGTTATCGGTTCATAAAAAGGGTATATTATATCCATTTAATCCATTGAGCAGTTGATAAAATCTGTGCATCATGTGTTTATTTTTCTTGTTATATTTTGGATCGTTTAATTGTGTTAGCAGTTATTTCCATCTGATACAAATATGCATAGTTTAGCATCCATTGATTCCAAGGTGAATTTTCCTTGCACAGAATGCGGAAGACAATGAATACTTGGAAGGGGTGGAACCTTCACTTGAGTTTGTCATAACATCTCGCGATATAACGAATACTGGTGCACCTGCTACTTTGCTCATGTTCAATAATGAGAAGGGCTTTTCTGCAAAAAATATCGAGTCCATTTGCAATGTTGGAAATTCCACTAAGAAAGGGAACCGGAAGCGCGGTTATATTGGGGAGAAAGGTACTTTTCCTTTCTTGTGCTTTGTATTTTATAACCTGCACACTGACTAGCTGTCGGGTTATTGCTTGTGATGCCTGTTATAGTACATGCTTGTCTTGGTGTTCCCTAAACTATTTGGTTGGATTTCGTTTCAAGTCTCTATTTGTTTTAATGATGGTCCTGCTTTAGCACCAGTTCACATTTTTTATCTAGACGAGACCTAGCCTAGCATCTCTCAGCTCAGATTTGGAAACGAAAAACTTGCAACCAAGCAGATTACAAACATTTTTTTTTTTAAGTACGAGAACAGGCAAAACCTTGGGGTTTTGTTCGGAAATTCAACATTATTGACAGTATGCAGATCTCCAGAGACATAGAAAGAGACCAGACACTTTTTTTTTAATCTGTTGAAATCTGCGGTGGACTTGTGGAAATATTTTTCAAAATATATTTAGACTGAATTTAAAATTAATTTATATTGTAAAGGATAAACATACGTTTACAAAAAGAATTTCACCTGTCAGCAGTCCTTATTTATCTTCAACGCTGCTCTAATAAACCTTGTTTTGGTTTGGTATGCAGGAATTGGATTCAAGAGTGTGTTTCTTATTGCTGCTCAACCTTACATATTCAGCAATGGCTATCAGATCCGATTCAATGAAAAGCCCTGTCCACACTGCAATCTTGGATACATAGTTCCTGAATGGGTTGATGAGAGCCCATCTCTTTCTGACATAAAACAAATTTATGGCTCTGCTTCTACCCTCCCAACTACTACACTGATTTTGCCTCTGAAGCCTGATAAGGTGAACCCTGTGAAGCAGCAGCTGTCAAGTATTCATCCAGAAATCCTGCTGTTCCTTTCAAAGATAAAGCGGCTTTCTATCAGGGAAGATAATGAGGATCCCAGGCTCAACACTGTTAGTGCAATAGCTATTGCCAAAGAGACTAATTTTGTGACGAGAAAAAACATTGATGCTGAGTCCTACACACTCTATCTGTCTGCAGACGAAAATGGAGATGAATTTGAAAAAGAATGCAGCTACTACTTGTGGAAGCAGAAATTTCCTGTCAGGCCAGAAAACAGAGTTGACATGAGAATGGAAGTGGAGGATTGGGTGATCACTTTGGCTTTTCCTAATGGAGAGCGCCTTCATAGGGGAATGAACTACTCCCCTGGAGTATATGCATTTCTTCCAACAGAGATGGTGACCAACTTTCCTTTCATAATTCAAGCAGATTTTATTCTAGCATCATCAAGGGAAACTATACGATTGGACAACAAATGGAACCAAGGAATTCTTGATTGTGTTCCCTTTGCTTTTATCAATGCGTTAGTCTCATTAGTCAAAACAGTAGATGATGCTCCGGTATCTAGTTTGCCTCGAATGTTCAGGTTCTTGCCAGTCTACAGCTCCCCCATTGAAAAGTTGAATTCAGTGAGGGAATCAATTAAAGCGAAGCTGGCTGAAAGGGATATTGTTCCAAGTGAGACACATACAGAGCAAAAGTTCTTTCATAAAGCGTGCAAAGTTGGCCGATTAATGCCTGCTTTCTGGAATACACTGAAGAAGGCAAGAGAGCAAAGAGTGAGCTTGCACAATCTTTCATCCCATGGTTGCTATGTTCTGAATTCCTCATTTGATAAACCAGAGTATGATCAGATACTGGAGTTTTTGGGGGTCAGACCAGTATGCAGTGAGTGGTATGTAAAGTGCATCCAAGGCTCTAATATTGTAAGGGGAGTCACAGAGAAAGCATACGTGGAGCTTCTTCACTTCCTTGCTGTTAATTGGCAGTCCAAGTTTCACAGCACAGGCATGGGTAACATTCCACTCATTAAATATGTGGGTATTGATGGGAGCGTGTCTTTGTGCACTGTTAATGAATCTGCTCAGCGGTATGGTAAAACTCTGTGCCTATCATGTCAGTCTTCTCGAGTCTCGTGGCTGATTGATTGGAACAAGGAGTTTCGATGCATGGCCAATCTCTATTTTGTGCCAAAAAGTACACAAGAAGCTATCTGTTCATCATCTGAAAAAGAAGTGGTGTTAAAATGGCTTGTAGACCCGGTTAACATTACTCTTTTAACCGTATATGAGTATGCAGATCTCTATGGAAGTCAAGTCAGTAGTGACCGGAAACTTGTCATTGCCTATGCTCATTTCTTATATCATTCATTCTTAAAGGACTATCTATCAGACAGGGAAGTTGCTTCTTTGCGTGCTAAAATGCCTTTTGTTGATAGCTATGGTCATGTGATCAAAGAAAGGAATGCCGTTCTTGTCCCAGCTATTGAAAGTAAATGGGTGCAATTGATTGGTTCTAATCCTTGGAGGGGAGAAAGCTACGTTGAGTTAGGAGAAGACTACTTGGATCCTGGATATTTTGCTGGCACAAGCACAGAGGGAAAGCAACTCTTGGAGTTCCTTGAAGCTTCTGATATTCCTCACATATCTCCTCCCGATGCTGTAATACCTACTGCATCAACACCACTTACCAAAAAAAATGCATTTCTGCTGTTGGATTGGATTCGTGAGCTGAAACGGAGTGGAAGCATTCCATCAAAGTTCATGACATGTATAAAGGAGGGCAGCTGGCTGAAAATTACTATGAATGGCTCTCCTGGTTACAAGCCGCCATCAGAGTCATTTCTACTTACTACACTCAACAAAAGCTCAAACTGGGGACACATTTTGCAGAATGGATCTGTGCTTGTTGATATTCCCTTGATAGATCAGAGTTTTTATGGTCATAAAATTAACGAGTACAGAGAGGAGCTAAAGACGGTCGGAGTCATGTTCGAGTATGGCGAGGCATGTGAATTTATCGGGGATCGTCTCATGTCTTTGGCAGCCTCATCCACTTTAACCAAAAGCAGTGTGATTTCCATACTGAATTTCATCAAATTTTTGAGGCAGAATTATCTCCCTACTGAAAAATTCATTCTCAAAGTTAAAGAAGGAAGGTGGCTGAGGACTTGTAGGGGTGACAGATCTCCTGAGGGATCTGTTTTATATGATCGGGAGTGGACAGCTGCAAGGCGAATTAGTGACATCCCCTTCATTGATCAAGATTACTATGGCGAAAACTTCGTTGTTTTCAAAGAAGAACTCCAGTTGCTTGGTGTCATTGTTGGCTTCAGCGAAAGTTATCAATTGGTTGTTGATAACATAAAATCGCCTTCGTGCTTATCTTATCTGACAATGGAGGCCTTTCTTCTTGTTTTGGATTGCATGCGTCATTCTAGTTCTGTTTGCAAACTAGTTAATGCATTGAAGAGTACAAAATGCATAAAGACAAACTGCGGTTACAAATCTCCTGGTGACTGTTTCTTGTTTCATCCCGAATGGCGTTGCCTTCTGAATGTTTTTGGTGGTTTCGCATTGGTTGACAGTAATTTCTATGGACGCAACATCTTTTCTCATAAAAAGGAGTTGAAGGATCTGGGAGTACAAGTAGACTTCGAGGATGCTGTCAAAGTGTTTGTTGGCATTTTCAGGAAGCAGGCGTCTCTGTCTTCCATTACGAAGGAAAATGTCTTTTCGTTCATATCATGCTACCGAGAGCTGAAGGGAAGTCCACACAAATTTCCTTTAGATCTTAAAAAGTGCATCCGTGAGGAGAAATGGCTGCGGACTCGGCTTGGTGATTATAGATCTCCAAGCAATTGTATTCTGTTTGGTCCTGAGTGGGTGTCAATTTATCCAATTACTTGCCTTCCCTTTATTGATGACAGTGACAAATACTATGGGAGTGGCATTCATGAATATCAAAAGGAGCTGAAGAAAATGGGGATCGTAGTTGAATTTAAAGCTGGCGTGAAGTTTGTGGCTGCTGGTCTTTGTTTTCCTCAAAATCCATGCGACATAGCTCCTGTGAATGTGCTTTCATTGCTGGAATGCATCCGCGCTTTATTGCAACAAAAGGACTACTCCTTTCCTGAGACTTTTAGTAAAAATATTGCTCGACGATGGTTAAAGACCCATGCTGGTTTCAGGTCTCCGGGCAACTGCTGTTTGTTCAATTCCCAGTGGAGTTCATACTTGAAGCCTACCGATGGGCCGTTCATTGATGATGATTTTTATGGTTCTAACATCAAATTGTATGCAAAAGAGCTCATTGAAATAGGAGTTGATGAAGGTAAGGCTTGCTCATTGCTTGCCAGTCATCTTGATTCCCATTCTGAATTTGACACTATCGTTCGAGTATATGATTTCCTGAGACAAAGTGAGTGGAAGCCGGATAGTGATGCTACCATAAAGATTTGGATTCCAGATGGACTTGAGAATGGAAGGTGGGTTAACCCAGAAGAATGTGTTCTCCATGACAGAGATGGTCTCTTTGGTCTACAGCTGAATGTACTGGAGGAACATTATGAGCCAAAATTACTTCATTTCTTCTCCAGTTCATTTAACGTTAGGTCCAATCCTTCATTTGACGATTACTGTAAGCTTTGGAAGGTTTGGGAAAGTTTGGAAGGCCCATTGCCACATGCAGAGTGCTGTGCGTTTTGGAAGTGTGTTATGGCATACATGAGCTCAAGTACAGAGAAGATTCTTGCTGATGTCTTGGTAAAGCTACCTGTTGTTTCAGACTCTGGTGAAATTTTGTTGTTCAGCAAGCGTGATGTTTTTATTGCTGATGACCTTCTACTGAAGGACCTTTTCGAAAAGTTCTCATCACGCCCAGTATTTGTCTGGTGTCCCCAGGCAAACTTGCCTTCTTTGCCTCGAACTAGGTTGCTTGAAGTCTACAGGAAAATTGGGGTTCGAACTATATCTGAATCAGTGCTGAAGGAAGAATTGTCATTGGCAGATGGCGTGGAACTTAGTCAGATGGATTCAAGGGATGCTGGGATTGGAAAAGAGCTAGTTAGACTGATTCTTGGCTTTCTAGCTGATCCTTCTCGTGATATGGAAGCAACAAAGAGGCATGGAGCTGTTCAGTGCCTCCTGAATCTCAAGGTCCTGGAGACTACAGAGCCAATTACTGTAAGCTGTAGTTTACGGCTTTCTGATGGGGAAATTTTGAAGGTGAAAGAAAAACATATGATTCGTTGGGATAAATCGTGTTCAAATTTTCTGACACAGAAGATGGATAAAGCTGGTGGCAAGAAAAATCTTGTTGAATATGCGTTCTTTTTTTCTGAAGTAATAGCACGCGGTGTGTTATGGAATAAAGAAGATCAAATAAAAGCACTCTCTGAGCTGATCAAGTTGGCTTTCCTGCTGAATTTTGATGAACAAGCTGTTCAGTTCTTGATGAAATCTAATAATCTTCAAACTTTTCTGGAGGATGAGGACTTCCTTGCCGCTGCATTACCTTCTGCTTAGGTATGTGTGAGCCCCTTAATAGTTGCAAGTTTGCAGCCTTCTTTTTTATCCGTTGCTTCATCCAGCACGATTTATCTGTCTAAGGCGAGTTTTATTTTGTTAATATTTATGATGGTCTGAACTTTTGGATCAAATATGTAAGGGAGATCAGTAGTTCAGCTGATGATTCAGTTAATCTTCTATCTAGTGAACTTTGGTGTTTGTGTTTTTCGGCTTTGTTCCCGCTGCTGCTGTAGGCGCGGTCATTTTGAAGTATGAACAAGGTGTGTACTTAAGTATATGTCTGATTGTATGTGTTTAGTCCCTGCTTCTTGTGCGCATTGAACCCATGCATGTTCTTATATATGCCATATATATTTAAGTTTTCTACGTGGGAGATATGGTTCTTGGTAGATTCTTGTTTGTGCTAAGAAATATTTATAAGATTGAGGGGCTTGCAGGCCCAACGTTAACTTAATTGCAGGAAAAAAAGGAGTTCGATATTCCTTCAAGTTTCACTTGTGAAAGATGGAGAGCAGAAAATGAGATTGTAGTCATTAATTTTGTCGCGTATATAAATACAGATTACACAGAGTATTTCGAACTATAAGATAGAATTCTTAACCTATCTTCATCTATAACTAAATTCTATTTGAATTTGAAATATTTGAACTGACAATCAGATATTACCAAAATAATTTTTCTAACACCCCTTCTCAAGCTAAGCATTGTTGGCTATAATGCGAAGCTTGCCTTTAAGAAGTAAAAACCTGGCACCAGCAAGTGGCTTTATAAATATAACGAAGTTAAAGTCAGTTGCTATAAATTTATTGAACATTAATGTTACCATTTGCTACCGAACGATGTGAAAGTCAATTTCTCCTAGTCTTAAAAACTGGATCGCAAGATAAGCATGCCCGATACTGTCGCACCATAAGATAATAGGGTTGCTAACTTGCTGACCAAGTTCCCTCATTAGAGATCGGTAGGGTTGCTAACTTGTTGACCAAGTTCCCTCATTAGAGATAGGAGCTAAAATCTAAATATTTCAGGAGTTACATTAGCAACATCTTTGTATTTTGCTTTAGTGGATGGTCGAGATGTTGTTGGTTGCGTTGCTTTTTAGCTGACCATAAAATCAAGTTCTTCCCTTAAAAACATTGCATACCCTCATATACTTCATCTATCATCTTGTGTGCCGGCCCAATCCACATTAGAAAATGCTTGCAATTGTGGCGGTGTTGAATGAGAGAAGAAGAGGCCTTGTGTAACTGTCTCTTTAATATACCTTAGTAGAACTCGTTCACAAGTTTGCCAGTGTGTAATGGTAGGATTAGACATATATTGACATAGCTTGTTCACAGCATAATCTATGCTTGGTCTTGTTAAGCAAGCATGCTACAAGGAGCCTACTACCTGGCGATTCAGTTACGGATCATCCATAAGATTACCATCTGAAATACTAAGCTTCGAAGTAGAGGAAAGAGGTGTTTTTACTGACACAGCACCTTTCTAGTCTTGGCCAACAAATCCAGGAAATACTTATGTTGGGACAGCAGGATACCATTGTCATGCTTGATGACTTCAATACTTGAAAAATGATGAAGATCGCCTAGGTGTCCTAAATGAAACTCAAGCCCAATCTTGTATACAAATTGAGTAACCATGGTGGAATTGGTATCTGCGATGACTATGTCATTCACATAAACAAGTAGTCAGCAGATACAAGGTCTTAGTGCCATGTTTATAAATAAATAAGGAAGAATTAGTGTAGGAACCTGTAAAACCAGAAGTAAAAATAAACTCAGCATTTGAAACCATGCCCTTGGAGCCTGCTGCAAGCCATAAATTGACTTCTGTAATTCGCAAACATATTGAGGGCCTCTCTCATCAACAAAGTGTGGTTGTGCCATGCAGGAATGTATTGGAGATATCCCGTTGTCTATGTCTAGTCTTTAGAAATGGCTTAGTTAGAACTAGTTAAATACCTATGTTACGCTACGATTAAACAATCGTTATATACGTAGCGTTAACGATTAGTATAGTATAATGTGAGTAAAAGTTTTATTTTTAATAATTAATGTAAATCGGATCCGTATATTAAGCGAACTAATATATATATATATATATACAAAAAAAAAAAAAAAAAAAAACCTATTAAAATTGCATGAAATATATTGAAGTCAACATATTAAAATAAAAGCTGCAACAAAATTGGTTCGATAAATTCTGAATAAATATATATTAAAAAAACAAATAAAACTTGTGATTTTTTCTAAAAAAAAATTGAGTCATACTATTTAAAACATACTTTTATCTCTCTTTCCCTCTTATATATATATATATATATATATATATATATATATATATATAATCGAATTTATAAATTATAATAATATATTTTTTAAAAAATAAAAAACGGATATTATAAAATTTTATTCCAAAATTCATATAGTAAAAAACCAAATTTATTAACAACTATAATTATATCAAAAAAAAATTAATTTAATGAGAATTTTAATAAGAAATAAATAATTAAATAAATAAATTTTAAATAATAAGAGTAATATAATAAGATATATATGTTCAAACTAAAATCTTAAAGAAATATCATATATATTCTATCGTTGTCAAACTGTATATAAAACTAAAAAAAAATAATGATTTATTTTCTATATTTTTCACACACACACACACACACACACACACATATATATATATATATGAAGAAAATAACAAAAAAAGAAAAGGAGAAAAGCCGGGCTCGCTAAATTGTATGAAATATATTGAAGTCAATAAATTAAAATAAAAACTAAAATAAAATTGATTCGATAAATTCTATATATATATATATATACATAGAAGCAAATAAAACTTAACTCTCTCTCTCTCTCTCTCTCTCTCTCTATATATATATATATATATATAATCGAATTTATAAATTATAATAATATATTTTTAAAAAATAAAACATCGATGTTTTAAAATTTTATTCCAAAATTCATATATTAAAAAAATAAATTTATTAATAAATAAAATTATATCAAAAAATTAATTTGATGAGAATTTTAATAAGAAACAAATAATTGAAGAAATAAATTTTAAACAATAAAAGTAATATAATCATATATATATGTTCAAACTAAACTCTTAAAAAATATCATATATATTCTATCACCTTTAAACTCGTAAGTAAAATTTTTTTTAAAAAAAGTAACGATTTATTTTCTATATTTTTTGTAACGCCCGCCAATCGAGACACCTCACTCGAAGGGTCACAATCAATGATTTGTTACTAAAACTTATATCTTTTTTAAAATTAAGTTCATAATTTAATCTTATTTAAATATATCAATTTAAAAATATAATTAATAATATATAATCATAAGATTTTCTTATTAACATAGCGGAAGCATTATTCTAAAATAACGTTGAATCACCAAGACTCGAATCTTCTTCCAAATAGCCATGACTTCACTTCTTACTCAATTATATCCCCCCCTCTCTCTCTCTCTCTCTCTCTCTCTCTTTCTCTTTCTCTTTGTGAAATATATGCTTATGAAATGGCTTTTCTAAATGAGGAGAATGACACCCTATATATAGGCATGGGAAGTTGAAACATTTGAGTAAGTGCATAAATTAAAAATAATAAAAGGTCATTAATTTTCTTTTTTTATGGCCACTAAGTGGCTTTCTTTCATAACCATTTTCTTTTCTTTCATGACCACTAACATTCTTCTTTTATGGCCATTTTCTTTTCTTTCATGGCCATTCATGTCTCCTTTTTAATTTTAATATATGTTTCAAAACTTTTGCTCTTCTTTTCTAACCACTAACATTCCCTTTAAAAGCTAATAAAACTTACTATTATTTCATTATTATTTTATTAATTATTATTACTACTTTAATCCTTTAATTCATAATAACCTAGGCTAAGATTATAAGATTAATTCCTATCTATAAAAATATTATTTATAATACCCAAAAATATATATAGTATATCCTAAAATTCTATACCTAATCATCACATCATCTAAACATATAAAAAATTATATTACATACAAATAAATCACATATGCACACATATACACATCATATATTATCATGCAAAATTTTTGGGTATTACATTTTTCACACCTAATTTCATGATAATATATATATATATATATATTCAAAATTTATAAATTGTAATAATAATTTTTTTTAAAAAAACATCGATGTTTTAAAATTTTATTCCAAGATTCATATATTAAAAAACCAAATTTATTAATAAATAAAATTATATCAAAAAATTGATTTGATGAAAATTTTAATAAGAAAAAAATAATTGAAGAAATAAATTTTAAACAATAAAAGTAATATAATCAGATATATAGATATTCAAACTAAAATCTTAAAAAAAATATCATATGTATTCTATCATCTTCAAACTATACGTAAAATTAAAAAAAAAAGTAATGATTTATTTTTTATATTTTTCATACTTGATTTTATGATAATATATATATATATATATATATATATATATATATATATGAAGGAAAAAGAAAAAGAGGTCGGGTTTGCTAAATTGTATGACATATATCGAATTCAATAGATTAATATAAAAACTACAATAAAATTGATTTTGATAAATTCTGAATAAATATATATATATAAAATAAAACTTATGAATTTTTTAACTGATTATTAATTTTTTTTAAAAAAAATTAAGCTAAACTATCTAATATATATATATAGAAAAAAAAAAAAAAAAAAAGGCTAGGAGCTGTGCGGCGGGAAAGGCCAGCACTCGCAGGCCCGCGCGCCTGGGCCTGACTGCCTGTCAACTTGGAAAAAAAGAAATCAAACAAATGAATTGGAGTACAATAAATAAACAGTAATACTATTTAAATATCTTAGTTCTTTTAGTTTTCTTTTTTATAATAATAATAATAATAATGGTTCGAAACGTGGGGGCCTTGATAAGAGGGCTGAACGTAGCCGAATAGTGCTTGCTATACACCTTGTTTGCCACTAATTCCACAAGCCCATCTGCCTTATGTTTAAGCTTGAAGACCCACTTGTTGCCTACAACATTAGCATTAGATGATTTTGAAACCAAAATCCACGTGCCATGAGAAATCAATTCTGTAAGCTCAGCAGACATACCAGCTCTCCATTCTGGCCGTTTTTAGTGCTTGATTGTAGCAACTTGGTTCTCACGGCAGATGAGGCTTGTCACTACTGAAGCTTGTCACTGTCATTGGCTAGATAAGCCTATTTCTTCTTAGGATTAGGTCTCAACGTCATGGGGTGTTTTCGCACCAATGCTACAGCTGTAGCCTGTAGATTCAGTCTGTGATAATATTTGATGTGAAGTTGTTGTTATAGGTGTCGCCACAAGCACTGCCACTTGGTGTCCTCTGCAACATTCAAAATTTATGTTCTTTCCACCTTTACTAGTTGGCTGAATATTTTCATCAATAATAGTGTTCTAAGGTGAATATTTTCATCAATAATAGTGTTCTGACTTCTGAGGTGGTAACATAGGGTTATTAGTTGATGAATCAATAAAGATAATGTTTGTAGGTGGGGAAGAAGGTTGAGAATTAATACCCGAAGAAGGATTGTAGGCACCTGGGATGGTATTAGAAAGAGTTACCCATGCTGCAATAGCAACCTGATCTTTTGGTGGTCTTTCAAGTACTGATGAACCTAAACCATCTCTTGATCTATAAATAAAACAACTCTCATCAAACCTCACATGTCTGCAGGTATAAATCTTATTTATATTCGGATCAAAACACAAATAACGAAGACGATTAATTGAATATTCTAAGAAAACACAAGGTCCACTTCTATAAACAAACTTATGCTGATTATATGGTCTTAACATAGGATAAACAGTATAACCAAAAACTTTTAAAAAGCTATAATCAAGTGATCTCCTAAATAATTTCTCAGAAAGACTTGCATTATTCAACACAGATGTTGGCATTCTATTAATCAAATAACATGTTGTAAAAGTATATGACCAAAACCGAAAAGAAATATTAGCATGAGTCAATAAAGTAAGGCTAATATCAACTAAACTTAGTATCAGAAACTTTCTAATGAAACGGTTAAGAGTTCAACCCCATTTTCCCTTCTAACTAATTTAAAAATAACATCTCTTAACACCATATATGCTCATTTTTATCGACAGGCATCCGACTCAGCGTACGCATGTAACGAACAAAGTACATAATATATATATATTTGTGTGTGTGTGTGTGTAAAATCACGCAATCAACATTCTACTTCGAAAACTCCAATCATAGCTAGATCTTTGCTCATGGATTTGTCATGAGCATTTTGGATATCAAGATTCAAAAGAAACAAATAGAATACATAATTTCTCTTTCTGGTCTCTTGGATTAGAAACAAAATTGCTTTTTCCAAACTATGGGCTGTGATTAACAACGCTAGGGAATTCAACTGGGAACCTGATGGGGACGCTGACAGAAGGATTTGGATACAAAATGCTAATGAACTTGGGAAGGTTTAATCATCCCCCCTACAGAGTCTCTGGCCTCCTGACAAGTTGATTAGTAGCAATTGAATATTTTGGATAAAGCTATGATGTATAATCACCATCGTCAGCTTTTTCTGAAAAACCACATAAAAAAATTTTCAGATAGGTTTTCTGTCCTTGGAATGAAACTAGTTACTGTAAAGCTATAGTTTGTACATCTTCAGGGGAAAAAGTAAAAGCAAGACTGAGCAAAACAATATATATTAGGATAGAGTGAGGCGTAGGTTCCTCTGACAAAAATCGCAGGTATAGAAAGCTGTAGAGCTGGGTCTTACTGAATTTCTGCCATATTTTGCTGAAGGATAACATCTGTAGAAGTATTTTGGATACTTGCACCTTCTGAGCTGATCAAATTGACTCACTTGCTGGAATTCATCAAGGGAACACTCAGGTTTCTGTTGAAGTCCAAGAATCTGCATTCTTTTCACTGAGGATAATAGGTTCCGCAAAACTCATCCAAATTGCACTGCAGTGCTTTGGTACTTCAACATCATGTGAACCTTCTACCACAAAAAATAAAATATCATGGGAAGCTTTGATGATCTTGAACTCTTGATGTATATTCCGCTGCCTTACAATGCATCTTTCAATTGAACACTATGTCAGAATTATCAAAATTAACCAAATATCTGTACATCATTAGTAGCTGAAGCAAGGAAAATGATTGCCAGAAAATTTTTTTCAAAACACAGTACATCATTTCTATATAAACATAATATTCATGGCTGACTAGTTAATGTGAAACAGAACACTTGATAGAACAAATCTCCTATCATTGCAAAGAACAGGAATCGTGACTACAAAAGGAGAAAAGGGAACGCTCAAAAAAATCTAAGGGCTTCCTTCACACTTCCTAGCATAATCAAGCGACTCTCTAATGGCTGAGAAGACGAGCTTTATCATGGCCCCCCGAGCAACTTGGATAGTAGCATGATTTAACTTTCAGCAGATTCTTTCCTTTACGAATGACCCTGAATCTTTGCCCTTTCTTTCCTTTCTTCTTTGCAATGCTCCCTGAAAGCTGAAGGGGAGAAAAAAAAAAGAAAAGAAAATATAAGCCTTTTTTCAATGAAAGAAAGTCTAGGTAATAAATTTTGATCAGTATGCTCATTTTTCTGAATTCATTTTCTGGTTACTTAGGAAGTTCCGGTAGATGTACATTTGTAGAAGTTCTTTTTGGGTTGTATACTTAATTTTTTGTGAATATGCGAAATCAGATTTCTGCTCAGTAGTTTATCATTATGGTCATTTTGAGAAAGATATAGAGAGTCTTAAGGATTACTTGCAGAGCTGATAAGAACCATACCTCATTAGATTTTACTGATTCAATGATCTCGCCGCTGTACAGATCGCTTGATGATTTTTGGTCTGCGTCATCATCCTTTTCTGCAACATTATGGCCACCATTCACAGTGAGGAAACTTATAGTGGCTTTGATTGGTTTGATAGTTTTCAATCTCACGTAGATTGTCAAAATATTTAAGAGTTGCTATTAAAGATAATTACCTTCATCATCTGTGGTCAATGATTCAATAAAATATACTCTGAAACTCGGCGATCCTGGACATATGTAACTTTCATCCATGTTGCTGAGCCTTCCCTCTTCTTTATCCTCTTGTTCCGAATTCCGTGCATCCTTATCTCCATCTTTTTCTATTTCATTTACATTTTTCAGGGCCGAGGCCATTGCCTCCAAGGTCTTGTCCTCTCCATCTTCTCCGCGTTTACTATCTTGTTTTTCGATTGTTTCATCATTATCCGGTGCTACTGATGCCAATTCTTGAGACCCTGCCCCTGGTTTTTCTACCTCCTCAATTTGTGTGCTTGTTTCGTTTGATTTCACATCTACAGACACTGCAGGCAATGTTGCTTCATCTGGGTTGTCCTTTACTTGTTCACATTGTTTGTCGAATTCTTGCTTTGATTCCACAGCCTTGGCAATCTTAAGGTTTTCGGTTGTTGTTTCATCTAATTCTGGGGCTGGTGCCACCTTTACATCGTCCTCGTGTGAGGATGTGCTCCTGCGATCTTTATCACTTGGACAATGATGTTGGCTAGAGTTATCACCATCAGAGACGCCATCTTTAAGCAGTTCTTTCTTGGAATGGTTGGGTGAATCTTTCAAAAGACCTCCATTTTTCTGTCTTTTTATATCCTCGTATCTCTTCCAGAGAAGAGGCCTTAGTTTGGCCGGCAACATATCACCTCTGTTGTCAAGCCTTGATCCACCACACCCCATGGTGAACCGAGCGTATGTTTTTGCTGCGGTCACACGTGAGGGAGGGAGAAACCAAAACGAATTACGCTAGAGACGGGGTGAAGATGAAAGAGAGTGGAAGAGAATTTGTACGTGAGAGTTTATGATTTGAAAGGAGGACCGTACAGTCGATGCTCTTATTCAGGTGGATTCGTACAGACTGTTATCAAAGTTGTCCGTAGCCGTTTATGGGAATGTAAAGGATCTCAAGTATCCTCATATCCATTTATAGGAAAAAAAAATTATCCAATTTATTGTGACTATCTATTACATCAATCTAAAAGTTCTGTTGGAGAGTCTTGACTTATTATATCAATTGAAAGAGTCAAATTTCAGCCACATTACAGCTACGAAAAGGAATAAACTCTGTTGAAGATGGCATGTGGAAGGATAGGCTACTGCTCTCTTACCTCCTTATTTTAGGCCCTTGAAGAGGCAAGACAGATAGGTAGAAATACTAATTAGCTATCTATTTGAAGAAAACTAGTCGTGCTCCTAAATAACTGCAAAATGTCTCTAGCTACAATCCAAACGTTCACCACAAGTTAAGAACGTTAGGGCACTGAATTAACATCAACCTATTTTTGGAGCATGAAAATAGTAGTCTTCAGATATCTGAATTTTGTTGCTCTACTGAACCAGGATTGAAAGTAGTCTCTCAACAATCAACTCCTGAATCCAGCTCTCTCGATTATCTTTCCATTTTTCTATCAGGGAGATCAGCTAGCTCTATCAATGATACTGATACTGGACCTCAGTCATTATGAGGCTTATGGGCCCATGCTTTGCACCCTGATGTGAGTGTTTGAAGATAATGTCATAATGAAAATCGATTTGGCCCCTTCTTGTTCTAAAACCAAAAATAAAAAATAAAAAATTGGCAAAGAATTATTACGTATGTATGTTCTATATGCATGGTCAGCTTTCAGGTTTTTTTTTTTTTTAATACGGTAAAATATATTTTGAAATTATTGTACGGATTAATTGAAACCATTAAAAAAAAACGATTTCAAAGATGCTCCGCTTACGTTCTTGTTCTTGCCAAATAGAAGAATAGCATATATACCATGTTTATTAAGTGATACTGGCTGACATAGAGTGAATATATATATACAAGTGGATCTACATATTTTCCACCAATCAGAAGAACATATAGTACATATTTTCTTATATTAAATAAATAAATAATATATCAATTATGTTATGAAATAATAAATATTCATGACCATTTCATATTCTCACTCCCCATTATTCTTAATGTGATTCAATTCATCATTCAATTTGAAAAATTAAAAAAATGATGCAATTCATGCATCTTTTAATAGCTTATAGTCCCTTTCAATTCTCTCCTTAATCTTGAAGCCTATAAATAGGCTTGATTGTTCATTAGTTATATACAAGTTTTCTAGAAAGAATAAGATAAACTTTGAAGTTCTTATCACTTGTATCTATATTATAGTGATTTCATTTTCTTATCATCCTTTCCTTCAATTCTCCTACTATTTCTATTTCTTTTATAATAAGTTATCGATACGAAGCTCTAACTAATCGAGACAATAGACCATGAGGTATGTATCTATCAAAACACTTAATCAATTATTTCAACCATTGGATTTCTTCTACACAAGTGCTTTACCAAAAGATCTAAATTATTTAGATCATTAAGAGGCATGTATCTAATTTATCATGTACTTTAAATATAATGATATATATATAACATACATTTAAAAAACTTAAATGATTTAATATATAGAATCTAATAATCTAACATGTTGTTTGAAAAGCTTTAATTTTATTATTATGTTTGTTCTTATTTTTTAAATATTATTATTATATATTACATTATAGAATTTTTATCATATCAAACCTCATAAACTCGATTTTGTGGCTCTTGATATTTTCAATAAGAATTACCGATTATGAGTGCTTGATTATGAAAAAATATTTTCTATTTTTTATGTCTTGAATATGCTCTTGCAGTAGCAATATCGAAAAGATGAATTTAAGAAATATTCTGAATCGATTTTATAGTTGCTCATGGCTAAATAAAATGACAAGCTATTGATGAAAATAAATAAATCTCATCCAATCTGGATTTACTCCATTCCCTAAAGTGAATGTGACAACTTATAATAATTTTGAGCATGGACAAAGATGTGGTCATAGCCATGGACGTAATCGAAATAATTATTATTATAATTGTGATGATCATGATATTACACCTCATCACCGAAGTGGATAACTATGAAAAAAATGAATAAAAATAGATAAAGTCAATACACAAAAAAATAAATATTATAGATGTAGTATGAATGGATATTGGTCGTGTACCTATCGTACACCAAAGCACCTCATTAAGTTTTATAAAATCTCGTTGAAAAAAAAAGTAAAATATAGAGACTAATTTCATATATATCAAATTGGAGGTAACCGAAATTAATAACTTGTTAGCTTTTTTATAAATAAGGTAGTTTATATTTTCTTATAATTGCATAGAGATAATGATAAATTTATTTTACTATATATTTATTATTTATGGTTATGAAGAATTTATTTATTTATTATTGATTTATTTGATTATTTATTTGATGTTAATATTGTATATGATAATATCAATCTAATAGAAAGTTCTAGAAGAGCAACTATATTATTATCTAAAGAGATAAATTTTGAAGGCTCTAGAAGAGCAAATATATTATGACTTGAAAAAATAAATTTTTGAAGCTCTAGAAAAGTGAATATATTATTATTTGAAGAGATAATTTTTAAATGCTTTAGAAGAGTCGGTATATTATTACTTGAAGTGACTAATTTAAAGGCTCTAAAAGAGCAAATATGTTATTATCTAAAAGGATAAATTTTATTATAAATGACGTACTATTCTCTTCAAAGTCTCATAAAACTTTATTGAGTTTCAAAGATATTCATTTAAATTAATATCATATCAAGATAGCAAATGTGAATACTTATATATTATAATCATTATACCGGGTAGAAAATATGTATTAAAAAATTTACCCACTTTCTCTTCTACTATTTATTATAAATATTGGAATGATTGAAACAAATGCTATAGTAAATCAGAAATTTACTAATTCAAATGCTTTTATCATGTGACATGACCAGATTGTGCTATCTTAGATCTTTCATGATACGAAAAATTATTACAAATTCATATGGATATCAATTAAAGAGCTAGAAGATTCTTTAATTTAATGAATTTTTATATTCCGTATGTTCTCAAGGCAAATTGATTATTAAGTTATCACCAAGTTAAATTGAGATTGAATCTCCGAGTATTTTTAAAATGTATTCAAGGTGATATATGTGGATCAATTCATCCACCATGTAGATCATTTAAATATTTTATGATTTTGATAAATGCTTCCACAAGATTGTCACATATATGCATATTATCTACTCGAAACTTGATATTTTCGAGATTGCTAGCAAATAATTTCGAGCATAATTTTCAGAAATTATGCCATTAAAACAAGTTACCTTGATAATGCTAATGAATTTATTTATCAAGAATTAAATTATTATTGATTGGCTATTAGAATAAAGATTGAACATCATGTTGCTTATGTTCATACTTAGAAAGGTTTAGCAAAAGGATCTAATTGATAGCTAAACCATTATTTAAAAATAAAAATCCATGTTTATATTGGGGGACATGCAATCTTACATGCAGCGAACACTTATTCACATCGGACTCATGAGTTATAAGAAATTCTCTCCTCTTTAATTGATTTATGGTCATGAGTCAAATATTTCTTATTTAAGAATTTTTGGCATTGCGAGTACATATCCGTAGTGCTCCTTCATAACAAAATAAAATGGGCACCTAAAAGAGATTGAGAATATATGTTGGATTTGAATCCTCTTTGATCTCTTGATTCATGAACAAGAGGTATTTTTACAGACTCAATTTATCAATTGTCATTTTGATGAAACAATTTTTTCAACATTAAGGGAGAGAGAATAGGCAAAATAAGCGAGTTGAAAATATTGAAAAAAAAAATTTATGGAGTACTCTATCTTTATATCATATTGAATCTCGTATAAAAAAATGTGAACTAGAAGTTCAAAAGATAATTCATTTACAAGGTATTACAAACCAATTACTAGATACATTTTCGGATCCTAAATGAGTAACTAAAATGTATGTCCCCGTCGAGAATGTTTCTATTAGAATTGATGTCCCGGAAGGACGATCTATTAATGTTATAGCTAATGAATCTAAAGCACGCTTGAAGCGTGGAAGATCGATCGATTATAAAGATAAAAATCTCCAAAAGAAAAGGGCAAGATGAAAATATTTACAAAACGATCTAGGATATTTCTAATAATATGCTTCTAGAAGAAGTTTAAATGCTTGAGAAAAATCAAGAGATTTTGATAAATTATGTCAATACGGGGAGAAAATAAGACCGAAAAGAAACATCTATTGACAAAATTTTTGCATATAATGTTGCAATTGATATTTTGAATGAAAATAAGATCTTGAGCCCAAATTTATTGAAGAATATCGACGTAAAAATGATTAGTCTAAATGAAAAGAGCAATCCAAGCGAGAATTATGTTCTCTTATAAAAAAAAAGTAGTTTTTTGAACCTATAGCTAAAACACTCGAAGATATTAAGCTAGTGGGATATAAATGAGTATTTTTATGAAAAAAAATAAGAAAGATGAGATTATGAGATACAAAGCAAGACTTATAACGAGAAAAGTTTTCATAAAGAATTGACATTGACTATGAGGAGATATATTCTCTTATAATGGATGTAATTATATTTTGTTATCTCATTAGCTCGATAAAATATATAAAAAACATTCATATGCATGCATTTAATAAATGTGATCACAATTTATTTGTTCATTTGAAATGATATTAGTATGAAAGTCCTAGAAGGACTTAACATGCCAAAAGCATGTAATACATATTCTCAAGAAAAGAATTCAATTAAATTATAGAGATCTCTATTAGGATTATTAGTATTTGTTTTATTATTTTAGTTTTTAGAAATTTAATTTTTATTATACTTTTTTATATTTTATTTTTATATCTACTTTTTGTTACTAACTTGTGTGCATGTGATATAATCATTTCAATGATTATTGAAAGAAAGTTATGAAAAAAAAACTTATTTGTTCATATATTTTTATTTGAAAAGAGGTTTGTTGTATATGTTGATAACTTAAATATTATTTGGAACTCCTGAAGAGATTCCAAGTGTAATAAGTTATCTAAAAAGAGAATTTGATATGAATACCTTGGAAAAAAATGTTATCTCGATCTACGGTTCGAGCACTCGGAGAATGAGACTTTTATTAATCGAGTCAATTTGTATAGAAAAAAGTTCTATAATGATTCTATATAAAAATCATTCACCGACTAACCCAATGGTAGTTCATTCACTTGATATCCAAAAAGATCCTTTTTAACCTTGAGAAGATAACGAAGAACTAATTGGTCCCGAAGTACCATATCTTAGTGTCACTCGTTCATTGATATATCTTGTTAATAATACTCAACCTAATATGGTCTTTTCTATAAATTTATTAGCAAGTCATAGTTTTGCTTCAATATGGAGACATTGAAATAAAGTTAAACATATACTACGTTATCTTTGAGGAATAATTGATATGGGCTTATATTACTCCAATAAATCAAAGACAAGATTAATTGATTATGCAGATGTAGGTTATTTATATGATCCACACAAAGCTCAATCACAATCGGTTATATATTTACATATGAAGATACAGCTATATCTTGGCGTTCTTTGAAGCAAACTATAGCTGTCACATCTTCAAATCATAAAGAAATATCAATTCACAATGCAAGTCAAGAATGTGTTTGGCTAAGATCAATGATCCATCATATCCGAGAAACATGCAATTTATCTATCGGTAAAAAAAGTTCTAACAACATCATATGAGGATAATGCTACTTGTATAACTCCATTAAAGGAAGAATATATCAAAGTGATAATCCAACAGATTTGTTCACTAAGGCATTACCTACCATAACTTTTAAGAAGATGATTCACAAGATTGAAATACATCGATTTAAAGATCTTAAATGATGTTTTCAACGGGGGAGGCCAAAGGCCAACACTAAAATTAATGTGTACAAGAAATATTCTACTCTTTTTGCTTCACTAGGATTTTTTTTCCATTAGGTTTTTTCTTAGTAAGGTTTTAATGATGCATGTTCCTTATACGATGGACATTCAAGGAGGAGTATTATGAAATAATGAACGTCCATGACCATTTCATATTTTCACTACCCATTATTCTTAATGTGATTCAATTCATTATTCAATTTAAGAAATTGAAAGGGTGATGCAATTCATGCATCTTTTAATAGCTTCTAATCTCTTCCATCTCTCTCCTTAATCTTAAAGCCTATAAATAGGCTTGATTGTTTATTAGTTGATGTACAAGTTTTCTAGAGAGAATAAGAAAAACTTTGAAGTTCTTATCAATTGTATCCACATTATAGTGATTTCATTTTCCTGTCAACCTTTCCTTCAATTCTCCTATTATTTCTATTTCTTTTATAACAAATTATAAAATTTAAGTTTTTTTAGATAAAACTCAATTTTAAGTATCTAACTCAATAAAGTATATTTTATATTGAATAAAAAAATAATAAATGAGTAATATATAAAGTTGAGAAATTACTAGTTATTATAAGATTTAAGTTTTTAAATAAAACTCAATCTTAACTATCTAATTCAATATGGTGTCAAATTTTTTATGATCAAACAGATTACGAGTTCGAATATCACTATGAAACTCAATCTCAACTATCTAATTGCATATGGTGTCGAGTTTTGATAATCAAATGGTTTACAAATTCGAATATCACCATCTCTATTTTCTCTTCTAATTAAAAATATAATAGCACAAGGTGGTGTAGGTGGGTAAATACAATTTCAAGCACAAAAGTTTTCATTTTAGTCGATGTGTTAGAAAATAATATAAAACATATATTAAGGTATCACCAAATAAGTTAACTTTTTGAGTGAGATAGTCATTTGACAATACACATTTAATAAAGATATACCCCAATATCATTTTTTTTTCAATCGACAACAACTATGATACCATCAATATTAGAAACATTTATTCTTTAATCAAAATCATAGGATGTTGATAGCAAAAGTAATAATAAATAAATAAAAATAAACGATTATATCCTTCTTACCATGCAACTTGATATGTCTAATGATTGTATAAACAATCATGAAACATGGAGTTAAGAATTCTAAAAACTCCTCTTTTAGAGCTACTATTCATCTTTTTTTATATATAATTGCAGCACAGACTTCTCAAACTAACATCTCATATAACACAAATTTAATCGTTATAAGTTCTTTCATCCAATCAAAATGACTTATTTTTGTTAGCTTGACTCCCTCCTAATATGGGTTCGAAACTCATGTATACAGGGGAAGGAAAAGGAGGAATTTTTTTCTAAACTTGTTGAGTCACATGGTGTGACTGTATATAAACGCCAAATATTTAGAGAGTAGTGCAGCCGACCAAAGCAAAATGAAAAGGAGAGAGAGGAGAGTTTTTGTCGAGAGACAGAAAGAAGAAAAAAAGGTATTTTTTATTTTTATTGTTTTAATTGTACGGTGATTTCAAATTCAATCAAGATGAAATTTCAACATATTGTTTTGGATGGGCAGTTCTTCGATTTTAACGGTCTTGATTGTAAAAAAAAAACTTTCATTCTTGGGTATTTTCTAAAAATTTATTTAATGAGATCATATATATATATATATATATATATATATATATATATGTTTTTTTGTTGAAATCTATTATTGATATGATGATTTTGAAATTTTGATATATATCCTTTAATTAAGTTAAAAAAATTTTGTTTCTTGTGATTAATTTGATACAGTTAAAGGGTTTGATTAGACTATAGTCTCGTAGTTTTTTTTTCATAATGAAATTTTTATGCAAAAAATCTTTTGTTAATTGTGATTGAGTATTTTGTTTTTTAATTAATTGGTGGATTCTAATTTTAATGGCAGCAAAAAGAGAGAAGGATTTGAAACTTATGGCTTGTAATTTCGATATATAGAAATATTTTTTCCCAATAGTTTTATAGGCATTGTAGTCATTATAACCACCATCAGCCTACAAACACTATCTATACACACCTGTGAAAAAATCACGTCATCATTTGAAGTTTTTACAACCTCGTCAGGAAACATAAGCTGACAAAGTACAAGAAAAAACATATCCATGGAAAGAATCGAAGATCATTAGAAGTAAAGAACAAAGGTTTTAACCTTGAAAAGATTCACGACATATGGAGGCTGCATGCATGCATGCATTGATATAGTTTAGTAACTTTTAAGAACCTGATTCAATAGTTGACACTTTCTTAATGCAGAAATATAAAGGGAATTAAAAGAAACAGATTATTTTAGCCTCAGTGATGCTTGTCCGACTCATGAGTATCAACTTTTGCAAATATAAAGGAAGTATACAGGAATTTAAGTTCACAAAATTTCGAAAAGGAATCATTAAGGGAACCCCATGTGCAGATATTCTTGCTATTATATAAGATTCTATGCTGAAAAGGGAACTGCTTTGAACAAAGTTGATACCACTTGATTTATATATCGATCGCTCACTATATTTACATTTTTTTTCCTTTTTGAAAAATAAATTCTCTTTAAAAGTCATGGAATCCTTGAGAATAGACCATAGATGGGAACAATAATTATATGATATTGATGTGAGAAAGTTGAAGGAACACGCACACAGATATATTCTATGTCGATCAAATTAATCATATTATTTACCAATGGCATCATATACAGTTTTTATTAAAAAAAATCTTGAGTTCCAAATTTTCAATTATTAAAAAACAAAGAAGAAGAAAAAGAAGAAGAAATAATCATATAATTTTATGGATCAACTACATTAACAATCAATCACAATAACAAGATAAGAAGTTATAAATTTATACCAATCTATTTTTTTTTTTTTTTGGCTTACATTTAGATCAAGTTTACATAAGAAGCTAATTAATCTGTTGAGTTCTTCTTGGCTGAATTCTTAGTAATTAGGTATAATTTGTAAATCGTTTTCCTTCTCTAAATGATCAATGCCAAACGACTCACTCTCTTATGTTTGGGCGTGATTGCATTTTGATCCATCATAATTGGCCTGACTGCAAAATGCTTATATAATTACGGGTAACGAGTATTCTCAAGTCGGTTTTCTTTTCAATTAAAACTAAGTCTATTATTGTTAGAACATGATTTTTTGGCTGACCAATGAAATGCTTATTAAACTAATTAAACCAATCCAATCCTAATGCTATTAGCAAACAATGATGACTAGTTATTCATAAATAATAAGAATTAAATTTTAGTTTTATCCAAATCAAGATGACTTCCTTAATGGTACAATGTTTTTAATTGAAAAATAAATCTATTGTTGTCATCGGATACATCATAAACCAAATTGCTGTATAATCTCCTCTTTGGAAAATCTATTGTCTTTTTATATTAACGGTTAAAAGGTTCCTGGAAGCATTATCTGAATTTTTTTTTTTTTTAATATATATGTATATAAGAGATGCTCGAACTCGAGAGTCGACACCTCTTAGGAGATGGGAATATGAATGTTAGTCTTACCTCATATTTGTTACCATATCAAAATGGATGGCAAAACCCTTTAATTTCTTTTTTTTTTAAGAAATTATTTTCGCCACAATTTTTAGTCTGCAAAGTCAAACAACCAACTTTCCTTCAACTAATGTACCTTCAAAGAAATTGTTACATAATTTTCTTCGATATATATAATACATCCATTTCCTTTAATGGACAATCTGAAGACAGGACACATAAAGATAAAAGCATGACATGCCTTTGGTTTATTTACATAACATGTTCAGAAGAAATTGCGGCTACTGCTTTGCTCATGATCTTCTTCATTTGAAGAGATCTCAGTGATACTGCTAGAGCTCGAATACGAAGATGAAGAAGATGAAACTGAATCAAAAACAATCTCGTCTCTCGCCATAACATCAAAAAGAGTGCCCCCAGCATTGTTATTTGTACAAGTTCCAATTATCTGATCAGTTCTTGTTGTGTCTTTGTTTTTCAGGAATACTCTGCATACAACCCATTTGTCCAATTGATAAGAAGAATTCTGCGGACAACGTCAAACTTAATGTTATTCGGTGAAAACAACGAGACAAGTGATCGACATTCTTAAAGTCAGAAACTATAAAATATGAGAATTTTTTGTTGGCATGATCAGAGAAACCTATTTACAGAATGCAGACAGTACAGTTGCATATATAAAGTAGTACTAATAACTTGCCTGGGCTGAGTTATCTGTCTCTGGAAAATTGCAATCTGTAGTTTCTGCTCCTACATTAACAAGGCGATATTCATGCATGACCCAATCAGTTCTAGACCCATGTGGAGCCTTCCCTTTATAAAAAACAAGAGTCTTTTTCATCCCCACAACATGGTTATTCTTCCAGCTTGAAGAAATAATTTGTTTGTCTAGGCCAGTTGCTTTCCAACAACCTGAAGCACTACTTCTATTGACTCTATTTCCGTTTGGATACTTGGCTTCCTTGATGCTGAAGAAGTATCTTTCTTGCTCCATATCACCTATAACACATGCATGATTACTTCTTTTTAACTTCCAATGCATGCAGAGAAGTACTTACACAGGCAAAATATCGAAGAATATTATAACATTAGACTAACCTGGCAATTCCCAGGGATCATACTTGCAGACATTGACCTCAGGAATGACTGAAGCAGGCAATGGAGATGAAAGGATTTTGCGTTTAAGGTACTGAAAGACAAGCTCTTCATCAGTTGGTTGGAAACGAAAACCAGGAGGCAATCTGATCATTCCATCTCTAACAAAGTTGAATTTTTCCATATTGAATCCTCTCATGAAAGGAAATTGGCTTTGGCAGCTCAAATAAGGTAATGGTTAAGCAACCAAAGGCAGCTATTTGCAATGCACGAGAGGTGGTTTGGGTTGGGTGTATTGTAGGAGCAAGGAGCGGGCTCTTTATAGCAATGGTGATGTTTGTGGCATGTGTAAAGGCAGCAATATTCTTAAGGGACACTTTATAACAAGAAAATATGTTTGTTTGACAAAAAGGATATATATTTAGCAATTGATTAAAAGAAAAGAAAAAGAATTTGCAGCTCAATTGGTATTTATATCTGAGTCTTTAGTCTTAGATTCGAACGATCATTAGTAATAATTTAAAGACTTAATGGTAAGCAAACTGATTCTCTTGCAAATTTAATCATATCCTCAATATTGTGAGATGCAAATACTTAAAAAAAAAACTATAATAATAATAATAAACTTGTAACTCAATGGGTATATTTAGTTTTTTTCTTTATTACAATAAAAAAGGTTTGGAGATTCATTAGATCTTAAGTTATTACTATTTTTTAAAAAAAGTACACAATAATTATTATTTTGATCTAAAATTTCCAAATTAAAAGTCCTAAATTTAACAGGCATTTACCTTTTTTAATTAGCTTTTACTGAAATATGAAGCATCTAACGTTCTTAATTAGGTCACAAATGTTAAAGACGTGCAAGTAAACAAAAACCCTTTTGTCAATGGACATTAATATATGTAGGATTGAATTAAATTGAGGCACATATAGTCGGATACTATTTAAAAGGTTGGTCCTTTTTCATAATTATTTTTTTCAAAATTCAGAAGTTTTTTCAGTTTTGGGATAGACCCGAACCTCGTATGAATGAAGTCATAGCATGTCATCCCTACTTATTCTACATGTGAAAGAGAAACACAAGAAATCAACAAATGTATATATATATATATAGTGAAAAAAGAATCCGCTTCTTGCTTTGCATTTACAACTCTGCATGAAAGTCAATAATGTATGAATGCAGCATAATTTCTTGAAGGATAAAAAATAGGGTTTAAATCAAGAAAGAGATATTTAAAAGAAATTTAATCTCAAGGTATAAACTAGTTTAATGATATTCTTATCATCGAATAAAAAATAAAAATGATAAATGTTATCTTAGGGAATAATTAGCAATGTCATGCAAACTACTGTATGTGCATAAAACACAAATAAAAAAAAAAAGGCAGTCTAAGTGATAATTAAGGCCTTATTAATTCTTTAACGGGGACCATTGATCAATTAAGTTGCCATGTTTTTTGAACTGAGAAAATTCGATGGACCAAATAACTTGTATCCTTTCCTGCCATTGCACTACTGTATAGATACCATGCCCAAGGCAAATGATATGATCATATAAGTTCTCGAAGTAACTTGCAAAGTTACAAAATGATCTCTTACCCGTTTCCTTTTCTTATATTGCTTCTACTTTTCTTCCACCTCAAAGTCCTTTTTTTTTTTTTTTAACTTATAGTGGCTCAGGATTTTGACTTTAAAGCACCTTTTTTCAAAAAACTATATACATAAAAGAAACTTCGATGCCAAAGAGCCTCGATTCTTCACTTTCCAGAGTGGATAAAACTTAGTTTATGCACAAACATTGTAGCCATCGAGCAATTCTTATTATAAATGTCTACGCACGTACGGGTATTTTACATGGGTTTTTTTTAGAGGGAATTAATTTTTTTTAAATATAATTAAAATGAAAGTATAGCAAAGACAAGACTTGAAACAAATACATAACGTTTCTCGTTCCTATTTAGCAAGAAAGCTAATAAATTCCCCTGGAATTGTTGAGAGATTTTAATGAGTTGAGTTTGGAAGAAAACCCATAAAAAGTCATGCTTTTATAAGATTAAAGCAAAAGGCTTGGAAAAGATAAAAAGTCAAAGAAGGAGAACGTTTCCTAAATAGGACATAGGGATTGGTACTTTACTTCATTGCGAAGATGTTGCTTTTCTCTTTCCATGTACTATTGATTGAGAATTTGAGATCCTTCCCCCAGAAAAAAAGAAAAAAAAAAAAAGCAGCTAAATTGAGTCTGCAAAAGACATGCATTTTTTGACCTTTTGAGTCTGCAATCCTTTCATGTGTACATAATTTATATCGTCAAACATTGCTTCTACTCAGCTTTTAATCTTCACAGTATAACTTCAACAAGTGGGCTTGGCAATTTATTTTCATGATTATTGTTTCTTTCAACTAGTGGGAGTTAGGTTGATGCTACTAACTGCACTAAATGTTCCTGATTTATCAGCAACTCCCTCTGCAAATATTGATCCTTTGAGGCCAACTCGGGTGGTAAGTTTTCATCATGTTATTATCGATATTCAAATTTTAGGAAAGGTCAAAAAAATAAAATCTCGTGAATACATTACATTAATTATGGATAATTTATTTAAAACACGATAAAAAAATAGTTTTAATATAAGTATATTTTTTTGAGAATACCTTGATGATCATTAATTAAAACTCAAGAGAGAATTATAAAAATTTGGTATCAAATTTAAATTAATTGATGGGTTGAATTGGATAATGTGTAATTAGGTGGGGGATTTTATTGGGAAATTTATTTATTCAGGACTTAATCGATAAGGGGTAGTAGTTGATGAGTATATTTGTCCCTTTCTCCAACCTTTTTTTAGATGTTGTGTGGTTATTAAAAATAGAATGATGAGAATGAGAATAAAAATTTGATCCTACTTTATAATTATTTGGTTGAAAAAAATAAAATAAAAATAGAAATAAAAATTGAAAATAAGAACAAAAATTATACATAGTAAATACGGTATGAGAATGTAAATGTCATTTTCATTTTCTAATTTTCATTTTAATTCCCTTGCATTCTCATTCCAAAATTTTATTTTGAATAACCAAATGACACTTTAGGAGTATCAACTATTTAATTTTGAATCTTAATAACCAAGATGGGTGGAGAAATTTAAGGAGGGGAAAAGATGAACACAATTGTGTAAAATAACTTCTTCTTCTTGGTTAAGCAATAAAAATGTTTTTGATCCAATTTTCACGTACCTCAAGACTGATCCTTCTTTGAACATGGTTAATGGGTACTCCTCAACACACGATCTCGAATATTTTGAAAATAAATTTTCGGGAGTGTTGGCCACAAATATCGAATGCTAAACTTAGTCTACAAATCATATTTGATTACTATCGGGCTATCACCTTGTAATTACATTGTAAAATAACTATTTGATCAAAAAGCATCACTTCTTTGAATAATTTTTTTTTTTGAAAAAAAAAGCATCACTTCTTCTACTATTTTTTGGTCAGTATGTTAACAATCATACATGTAACCTCTCTTTATAGGCATCAATTGTCAATTTAGTAATTGCTTGACAGTAAAAGAAAAAAAAAAAAAAAAGGTGATGCTTAATGCATAAGAAAGTTAGGTTATGTGTGACCTTGGTGCACACTTTTCGTTTCATAAATATGCAGTCGATCCACTTCTTCAATTTGCATGCGTTGCTTCTCCTGTTATACAAAGGTTAATTAATAATTTTATAGCACGCTAGCTTTCATAAATATATTCCATAGATGGCCAACCAATCACCAAATCTGATCCATGTCATGAACAACAAAACATGTTAAAGACGTTATTAATCCTTTTTTTTTGCTATGGCTCAACCTTAATATCTGTAATTCTATGAGGCCTAGAGAGTTTTGCATGAAAATGATCTGTTGGACTTACTTTTTCTTGAATATTTTTTGAAGAAAATAATGGATTCATTTCATCAATCAAAGAAAGAATGTGGACAAATCACCAAGCCGTAAAAACAATGGTCGAGTTTGTAATTTAGTGCAACTTTTAGTTATATATATATATATATATATTAGAGAGAGAGATATGGCTTTGGGCTTTTGTTTGGATTGTAAATTTAACTTGGAAAGGTCTTGGTATTTTAATAGCCCACTCAACCTAAGCCCAATAATCTTTGGGCTTTTGTTTGGGTTGTAAATGTAACTTTGAAAAGACTTGGTATTTTAGTAGCCCACTGAACCTAAGCCCAAGAAGCATTCAGTAACCGCTTTCCTACTCTTTCCTTTGGTTACAAAGAGCAGCGCTGGCTTAGGGTTTTTGAAAGTAGCAGTTGTCAAACTAAAAACAGAGGTTTAGGCTAGCTACCCAGATAGAAAGTTCAAAGAAACTAAAACAATGGATCCTTCATCACTAAATTCAGCTGAATTGGAAAAGTTCCTCTCTGTAAGTAGAGAATCCCTTTTGCCTTTTTTACAACTTCCCAACTTTTCTTTTCTTGAGCTTGATTTTTTTAAAGATTTACACTGAGGGTTTTTATTTTCTTGGTAAGAATATGGTTTGCTTTTAATTCATTAAAGGTCTAATCTTTTCTGTCATTGCTATTATTTCACTGGTTAGTTGTCTGGTTTGCATAATTTTTACCTTAATCTTTGTACTGTATTTACTTGTTATTGTTAAAAGACTCAAACTTGATCCGGTATTTGATCTGGTTTGATAATTTGGATAATGGGGTTAGTGCAAAATTTGAGTGTTCAAGAATTTTTGCTGAGTTGACGAGTAAAGTTAATTTTCTTAAATACAGCTTCGGTTCATTATTGGTATGGATGATATCCTTGATGACTTTCCTTGTGTAGTACCACTTGTTGGGTCATCTTTCTTTTTGAGCGATGGTGCTGGTGCAGTTTTACGTTATCACACTACGTAAAGAATTCAGAACTGTCATTTGGCTATCGAGGGCCTAATTGTATAGGTGATTGTACTATTTTATGAGTGATTATGATGTGATAAATCCGAGGTAACTGCAACTAAGACTAATGGAGAGGAGTGTTGTTTTGTTATTTGAGTATCTGATGGTAGTGATGAACGTGGGATGGTTGTTTTTTTCGCCTAATAGAACATTGATATTTTACATTTATGCATGTGATTCTCATTTCAGGATGATTTTTTTATTTTATTTTATTATTATTTTTTTTTTTGCAGCAAGAGAAGGAAAGAGCTATGGTTAACGAGATGGTGGCAAAGCTTACAAGTGCATGCTGGGACAAATGCATCACAAGTTCACCTGGGAGCAAGTTCAGCTCAAGTGAAACATCTTGCCTTTCTAACTGTGCTCATCGTTATATGGATATGAGTCTCATCATTATGAAACGCTTCCAGTCCATGAACTAACTTCATGGAGAATTGGCCTACTGTATTGGTTTGCAAGATGCCTCCGCGCTCTAGCTTCTACCATTAGTTAATTACAGTAGCTGAAATGCCTTGCATTTTTGAACTAAATCTCATCTTTTTTCTCGAAAGTTGTAATTTACAGTAACTCTGTATTTTAAACACCATGGAAGTAATATCCTCCCATTATTTGATGTTGCATAAATGATGCTCTTTTGCATTCAGAACTTGATGGCATTCACCGGACTTCCTTTACAAGAAAGCGTGCACCTAACTGAAGTAATGGTTTATTTTTTATCTTGAACTCGTGCAGTTACGTGCGGTGGGGTTTTGCATGCGATTAGCTCTAGTTGCAGGAAGCAAATACATTTAAGGGTAAAAGCAGTTGCTGATGCTTGTTGAAATGCTATTCCTTGATGGCATAATTCTGATTGCCATATGGTGAACTTGAGCTGTTTTTTTCCCCACTCTTTTCTATTTTCAAAAGTTTAGTTGGTCGCAATTCTGTCTTCTTAGTCGCTGTTGGATAAAATCCTGGACTTTCATTGGAGAACGGTTAAGTTTCAAAAACTGACCTTCCTCTTTAACTTTACAAGTTTTACCTTTTTTCTCTCTCTGAACTGCTACTCTCTCAAAGGAGGCGCCAGTGACTCCTTGACTCCCCTTACTATATTTCTACGCTGTGTTAAAGCTCAAAGCAACTGACGATATGCAATTCCAATAGCCTCCCTAAGACGAGTGAATCAAACTACCATGCCTTGTGCTTTTATAAGATTTATGACGTTGTGTTTTTTCGATTGTATTGAGCTTGTATTTGATCAAATCATTTACCATAAGAACTCATCAGCCAAGAAACGAAAACTTTTGAAAGTTGTTCGAGCATGTCTTTACAAGAAGTGACGCCAACCTCAACCGTGTAAGTTCAGCCTGCAACCTGAAGCGAGATGTTTATCTCAGATGCTTGAAATAACCAACGGTGGCAAACTAAACAATCACTTCGATGTGGCTGGATTAGCCAGGCACCTCTTCTACGTTCTAAATAGAAGACTATGCGCAACCTTTCCATTCCATAATCTACCAATACAAAACAATCATTAGGCCATCAGAGCAGGGATCGGTCAATATTGGCAAATCATAAAACATTAGCAATCACTTCTACTCATGCACAAGCAAATGCGCCCACCAAAAACATAAAGATTTATGGGGACACAGTTGGTTTTGGATGAATTACAACAGCCTAAAACCGCAAACCCATTGAAAGTGAACCAGATCATTATACACAAGGAAGAAAGTATGATAACGTGAGGGCCCAAGAGCATTAATGGCTAACAAATACAATATAAACACATCATTCTTTTTTCTTGTTCTTTTCAATTTTTCTTTCCTTTTTTTTTTTTTTTTTTTTTTTTTTGGTTGGGAGAGGGGTTCGTATAATCAAATCTTCTTTCCATTTTACAACTTAGTATGCCTCTTAGATTGTTGGGCATCTGATGTCAAGTTGTCACCACTGCCACTAGCCATCCGTTTTGATTCCCCCATTCCAGCTGCTAAAGCAAGAACATCAGGTGATATATCCCAGCTGCCACTTTTTCTACCCAAACTTGATCGTCTAGAATGCATGACGCTACGCCCTTCCATACCCTGTGGGGGAGGATCCTGCTTAAATCTGGAGGGGCATCAGTCATTCCCCGATCCTCATGTAGACTGTCATCATTTCGTACTGTGCCATCATAATCATCAACATCTCCGGCAGCCTCATCCCACACTGGCTTCCTCCCAATCTCTATGTCACCAGCAGATTTTTCCATGCTTGAACTGACAAAACTACTAGCTACCAGTCTAGGTGGAATGGCAGGTTCCTTTCGAACTTTTTCCCTGAAATTGTTCTTAGATGGAGGAATGCTAGAGCAGAATATCTCCTTGAAGTTCTCAATCAATCCTCTATCAAATGGGTTAGCCAGCCCATCATACCGGTATCTAAAATTCTCATAGGTAGACTGTCAAAACACAAAAAGCAACAAGTTTGAGAAACTAGCATATCACATAAAACATGAAGAATGGCAGTTTTCCAGGAAAAAATAAATATGTATTATCAATAGAAGCAGAGTGCACCAAGTTGCAATGGAAGGGATGTGATGGGAAGCACGTTAAGGTGATGAGTTGCAATGACTAGAAGAGTTTCTTACCTGGTTTTTACTGATGAGGTACGAGTGGAACACAGTAAGACCACCAACAAACCAAACTGAAACAAAGGAGTAAACCACTAGCGCAATAGAGGCAGGAGTCTTGGACATTGCTTTCCAAATTGACGTCTCCTCGCTATTCATAATCCTCTTAATGTAGACCCAGCAAAATGCGTGTACATATAAGCAGAGAATTGTTGAAGTAAAGACAAACATGAAGAAGAACCGATAGTTCCGCTGCAACCCAAAACCAGAAAGACAAATCCAAACTCAGTAAAAGATCACCACATACACACAATTCAAGTGATGGCAAAGGTCATCATTATTTTGTCAGTGCAAGTACTAGCTAGGAAGCAAACTGAAAGATATTGAGGTTAACTACGAAAGTTTCTCTAAAAGTATACTGGACAGCCTTGGCAAATATAGACACATTCAAGAATATTATCAATGAACAAACACAAATTTGAGAGATTCTGGCACAACCTAAAAATAAATCTAACTGGAAAGGATTTCCACATGCTATTTTTGGCATTTTAAGGACAGGGACCTTTGCTGCTGCTGCTGGTTCTGTTTTACTTTGGAAGGGGGAAAAAGAAAGAAAAAGAAAGAATGGCATGCACTCCTTGTATATCAAAGCATTTTTCCTAATATTAACACAGTAACTCATGACCTTGATTTTTTTATCACTTTCAAAGTGTGAAGCTATATAACAGGAAGGCTATCTTCATATAGTTTTCTACCAACAATCTGGCTAAACCATAAATTTTTGGTGTCATTCCACCATGGAAGAATGATGCCACATACTTTCCCTTATTGAACTTGCATTTCAATATTAACTTTGAGTGTATATTTCTCTTTCCTTTGGATGGGGAACATTTATCCCAATATGGTTGATAACGACAATTCAGATAATAAGAATCAAGTAAACACCACACCCGATGCATGACAGAAAATTTCATGTGTTCTTAAAGCAGAGTTCTGGAGATGCCACTAGTTAAGTTTTAAAGAGCAAAGAAATGCCACATGGAAGAATGATCATTACCAATCCAATGCACTGACCAACCCAAGGGCAATGATGGTCAAATCTTTGCACACAGTTGTTGCATATGGAACAGTGAGAACAGCGTGGGGGCCTATAAAGCATACAGGTATCACAGTACTTGGTCTTCACAGTTATCCCATTGATGATAACATCCTTTGTGCGTGGCAAACGGAAAGGTGGGGTTTGGCCAGGAGTAAGTGGAGTGTGACCTTCATAACCTTCCGGCTCTGGAGGATGAGCATTACGAGGTATTATACCAGGATCTCTTCCTGATGTTAGTAGAAGAAAGGTTAAATCCTGCAAGAACAAATACATTCAACTGTTAACAGCACAGGACAATGTACAAACTTCTTTTTGCCAACCTAACCTCCATAATCATTATTTCAAGCAACTCGTCCAACTATACTCTGATGATAAGATAAAGAAATTTGTGCAAACAATGTTGCATCCCCACACTAGTTGAGGTCGGTGTGTGAACCATTTTCTCGATGTGCGTGTAAATATGCTACACTAACAGAAGCAACAAAATAAAGCCACTGGTAAATTTGATCGTTCCAGAATATTCCGTATGCTAAGACTTCAAAAACAGTCTAGTTAATCATCTAACTTGCTTTTAAAGAGGAGAAGTAAAATGAACAGACTGTGATTGGCAGAAGATGGCAACTGCTATCTATTTAAGCTTTGGACTAATTCATCGTAACAATTAGCTGAGTTCATTGTTAAGCATGGAACTTCAGCAAGCAGGAGCATAAAAAAATTGAAACAACAGAATTTAAGAAAGGAAAACAACTCACTAGTAATGTCAGAACAATGACAAAGAATACTACTGATATTCCCAAGTGAAGAGAAAAATCATCTATCAGCTTTCTTGCAACAAAGACGCAGAAAACAGCAACAGGAGCCACAATAAGAAAGATAGTTAACAGAATAGATCTCGCATCCGGTCCAAATATAAGCCTCCCTTGGAGCAAAAATTTCTGCAAACATAACAAACAACTGTGGCATTATGCAATTATCAACATAAACGAATAAAAAAAAACTTGCCATGGAATATTTACCAAAAATAGCATGGTCGAAAAATAGTTGTAGCATCTACATTATGCTTTTCACATCTTTGAATCAAGAAACAGACAATGCTGTGAGACCATTGGAAACTGATTTTCTATACAAAACTGAACCAAAAATTTGATTCATAAAAGTAAAAACAGCTGCAAGCAACCTAAATTCAGTCACTCATTCAACAATCTAATCCCTGCCCATTTCACAATCAATCTACTAGTTGCAAAATTATTAACTAAGTGAACCATAAACAGAAGTTCCAAGAAAAAATAACTCAAATTGTCCACTAACTTCAACCAAAAATAAAAAAATAAAAAATCCCATCTTTAACTCCTTTATTCAATTCTTAAACACCCAAAAATCCAATCGTTACCATCAATCTCACAAAGCTTCACACTTGCGTCAACAAAAACCAAAAACAACAAAAACCTAGAATTCAAAACTGAAAAATCAGCTTACATTACTGCCTTTCCATGCCTGGTAAGTCCTGAGCTGACCCTCCCCATCGTCACCATCAACAGCGGAGTCTGCCATAGCTCCGGCAGCCGGATCCGGAGGAGGTGGGACCACATACATGTCTCTCATTCTCTTCTTGTTCTCTCTGTTTGTCTGGTCAATTCTGTATAGCTGCAATTGTCTGCGAAGGAGAAAAGAAAAAGGAAAGGAAGAAAGAAAAGCAAGTAAAGGCGGCTCTTTTAGTGCCACTGTAAAATAAAAAGAAGAGACTATTTGACTTTTTCTTTATTTTTATTCAAAAGACAAATTGGGTTGGTGGGCCCAGGATCGGGTTATGATATTATGGTTTATGAGGTGGCTAACCACCATCGACGACGGCGTTTAAGTGGCGTTAACCGTCGTAGTCGAGCTGGTCAACCAGGTAAATGGCAGGTTATAAAATGTTCTACCATTCAATAATTTCAAGTTTATTAATACTATATGTCCTTTTCTTTTTCCTGGGCTTGGTTAAATTCTATGTGATTAGGGCAATTCTTTGATAGTTAATTATCTTCTTTTTTGGTTGGTCAATGTATTATGCATTCATTTTTATAATAAAAATGTCATAAGAATTAAAAATCTTGAATTTCGAGCTTTTCTATCCAATCCCATTGTAAATTTTAAACAATATCTTGATTTAAAGATGAAGTTATGGTAATTAAGTGAAGTTTTTGAAATTCAAAATTGTCCCACTGTTATAAAATTTAACCATTATTAATTATCATAATCCAATCCCAAATTTCTTATGAGTATCCTAAATCCTTCTATTAAATTATTAGATAATACCAAATAAATACCAATATAACTATAAAAGATGATATGCATTTTATTTAACCACTAGAATACAACCTCAAAATTTAATTTATGAGAAATGAAATCCTCGTGAACTTTCAAATTTCGACACGATTACTATATTTTTTATTAAAACAAAAAAAATGATGTAATTTTAATATACAAAAATTAATTCGAAAATATAATCAAAATCCATAAGCCACTTATTCTTTCTCCTTACACAAATAAAATCAACAATAAATGAGAATTTTGTTTTAAAAAAATCACGATGAAGAAAATTTTACCTTTATTCAACATTTATATTAAAAATTGATTTTATATAATGTATTTTTATTTCGAGTCAATTCAATTCCATATGACAAAAAAGGTGAGGTACTACGCTTCTGATTGACAGCATGGGTTAACTTTGTAAGTTGTTACCACTTCACTTCTCTTAAAAAAGCATCTACCCAGGCTTATAACAGACAAAAAATACAACCATCCTTCAGAATTCATGGTAGCTGATTTTTTATTTATTATTTTTTTTAAACGTGCATTCCATTGAAATAGATTTGACCACATTTTGACTAAATATATATGATGCAATTAACTGAAACAAAACACAAGAGTAGAAATGGAGTTTTCAAAAGAGCAAAAGAGACTCAATAGATTAATTATTGGGAGGGTTAAAATCATGTGATGCTTATGCAAAATGCCTAATCTACTGAACCAATTTCTTGGAATTCTTACAACACCATCCAAGAAACTGTTAGTTATTGGTGCAATATAATACCATGAATACTATATTGTGCTGAGAATTAGATATATGGTTATTATAAAATGAGCATATGTTCTTTGTTCAGACAAAGCACTGTCATTATGACTGATTCCTCGTAAGCACAAAACTTGGGATTCCCTTTCGTCTTCTTTCTTTAACACTTCATTACTGTTGGATTTGCTGACTTGGTGTGTTCTTATTGGCTGTTTCTGATGGATTTTTTTTTTTTTTTAATTACAATGTAGCTTTGACCCTTTCTTTATTTGAGGTTGGCAGGGATTTCAACTTTCACACAAGTACTAATGCATAAAGAAGTGTAAAAGGTAAAGGGAAAAGGGAGGTAGCTGCAATGTGTGTGGTGGTTTGTGCATTCCTTTTTCCTTTGAAAACGCATCTTGATTAGAGAATTCTACGGCTTGAAAAGGGCAAAACAGTAGCATCTTAGAGAATTAGTGAAGACGAAGATACTTTTTAGTATTGCTGTGTTTTTAAAGTACATTTTGATGATACCATGAAATTCAAGCATTTGAGTTACTTGTAGTTTTGAAGGGGTTGGAGAAAAGGCAACGATCTCCTTTAGACTTTTGCAAGAACGAAGAATGAACAACAATGTTAGTGGTATCGGTTGAAGCATGGCACTGTCACTTTGATGCTTTCTTAGTATTGCTCATGTATTTTTTATGAAACAGTCTTAGCTTTTTAGAGATACGTGTATGTTTGTGTCTATATGAAGCTATTTTGCCTTGTGTTGGTTTTTGTTGGCCTTATATATTTCATTTTTAGCTATGTGCTGGTTGTATTGCCTTGTGTGAATCTAGTTATTACGAAGAAAACGCTCCATTTATAATAGAAAATATTAAACAATTGCTCGCGTGTGTCTAATAGAATAAAATCATTTTAAAATTTTAAAATTTTTTATTTAATTAATTTCTTTTAATGTTTTTTATAAATTTTTTACTTTAAAAAAAAAACCTAAATCATTCTTCTTTATAGATTGATTTTAAAATAAAAAATGATAATAATTTTAACTAAAATATTAATCAAGAATTAAAAAATAAAAATATATTTTTCATAATATTATATTACAAAAAATAAAATTATAATTAATTGACATGCTTTTAGAAAAATCAACAAATGAAAAAAAAATCTTATTTAATGCTGATTAGAAGATTAATTTTTGAAATTATTTGTCTAATCCTATGGATAGATAGAATAAAATCATTTTAAAATTTTATAACTTTTTCATTAATTTTTTTATTTAATTATTACTATTTTTGTGGCTTTCATAAAAGTTTTGTTACAAAAACATGATTTATTCTTTTTTATTCAAGAATTATTAAATAAAAACTTGTAATAATTTAAACCTGAAATATTAATTAAGAATTAAAAAAAATACTTTAAAAATATATTTTTTTTATATAAGAATGTATCCAAAAAATAAATTTATAATTAATGTATAGACTTACATAAAAATTAACTAATGAAAAAATAAAATTTTATTCTTATTGAGTATTGGTGAAAAGATTATTTTTTAAAAAAACTATATGTATTTGATCTATATATATTTATTTACAAAATAATCAATAAAATTAGCATAAAAACTATATTTGAATAATTAGTTGGCTCCTTTAAAAAAATATTTTAATTATTCTATTTCAAATAAATTGGTTCTATAATGTTAAAAAAGTATTCATAGTAAATAATTTATATTATGTTGAAAGATGTATAGTTAATTTTTAGTAAAAATAATGATTTAATATTTTTTTATATATCTCGAATCATACCCAGTGAACTGAGACAAATTATCCGAAATATACTTTTAATAGTTTAGAATAAAATAATTATATATATGCAATTATCATTTAAAAACTCTAAGAATTCATGATATATATTATGCCAATTTTTTTTTTTTTAAAAAAAATCATGTTTTAAAATTTTATTCTAAAATTCAAACATAGAAAAAAATAAATTATATTTATCTGTAAATAAAATTTTATATAAAAAATATTAATTGGATGAGAATTTTTAAAAAATAAATGATAAATTTAAAAAATAAATTTTAAATAATAAGAGTAATATAAACTAAAGTATATTGTTGATTTTAAAATATAAAAAGATATAGTGTGTGTGTGTAGTGTATTGGATGGGATGGCTATAAGACCATAAAGAAGAGGGCCTATAATTGCAAGGAGGCCCATCGAACACTTGCCATGCGTTAAGATGCATATAATGAAGAATTTTGAGTTTTCTTATGGCAATAGATTCGTTTTGTCGGGATGATTCTAATCGTTCGGTGCATGTGATGTTCAATCCCCAATGGCTGTCCAATCGAGCTGGTTTCCTCTCCCCTTCATTTCCTTATTTTCTCTTTTGTCCTTTTTTTTATTTTTTATTTTTATCTTTCCTCTTTTATATGTTGAATTTTGCTCTAAAGTTTGTGATTATTTTGGTCGCTTAGTTTGTTTGGGCTTATTCCTAATAATGGACTCTTTTGTTGATCATATCCATCTAGATTTGTCCCTTGAGCTACTTTTTATTTTTATTTTTTTAGAAGCTAGGCCTGTTTGGATAATAGACAATGAATAAGATAACTCATTCCATCTTATCAGCATTATTATTTTATATTTTACAAAAAATAATAAAATATATAACAAGTGGATGTCAATATTGCAAAAAGAAAATAAATTCATGTGATGGCTTTACTTTTTTTATTTACTTTTCCTAACATATTTTTCATTACAATAATAAAATATTAATAAACTTAATAATTGATGCCCTCTTAGAAAAACTGCTATAAAGGATCGAGAATGCTACATCCTATCGCATGAGAAGACAACCATTGTGGGTTTATTTATATACCCTTTTATGATTGTTTTTGCATCTATTTTTCAGATTAAAAAATATATATATTATCACATCTTGATGATGTACCTTTAGGTAAGATATGTGTTGTACCACAAGATCACAAGATCTAGTCTTTTGTATCATATTTAAGCTTTTGACATGGTAAAAAAAAAAAAAAAAAAAGACATCATTATTGCTAATTTAGAGGCTAAGAAATTTATAGGAAAGCTTGGAGATTGCATGGACAATTGAGAAACCATTCAATTTCTCATATACGATGACATTGATGATACTATAGATTTTGAGCATCTAAGTTGACTATAATTAATATTCAACTTTTTAAAAAGGGTTCGAAAAAGACAATAGTGTCCTCTAAAGTTTTTACGATATGAAGAATGAATATCGGGATTAATGGTGTTAGAAGGCTCCTAGCATAGCTACTCGATGGTTTTGTCAATATTGTATATGTATTTCTTATTAGAAACCTTAATTCTGTGGAGATGTGTATATTTGTGTGTGTATGATGCTATTTTTTTTACCTTCTATTGGCCTTTGTTGGCCTTGTATGTGTCATTTCTAGCTTTGTGTTGGTTGTGTTGCATTGTGCAAACCTGCATATTATGAATGGGAGAGCCTTTTTTATAGTAAAAAAATGTAGAGTATGAAGCGTATATTTAGTGTGTTAAAC